GGCGACAGCAGTTACCACGAGGTTTGCAGATGTGCTCGCGACTTTATGTGGGTGGCTTGCTCTATGTCTTCGTGTGGCCCGATGCAATGTAGTTGTCGTTGTCGGTCATGCTGGTTTGTGTGGCAGATCGCCTTTCTTGCTTTGGAGGCCGTGCCAAGACATCGGGAATGATCTGGCGAGTTCGGTGGTTGAGCCTGGTCTGCTTGATTGCATGAGGAATGAGGCAGGCAGGACCTGAGCCACCGTTGGTGAACTCAGGATTTCATTGAACAATTGATGCAGCTCGCAGCTGCGATCAAAGCTCGCTGTGTGATACAGTTTCCAACCCGCTACAATGCGCGGTTTGGCAGACTTCGCCTGCAGGACCGGTCTCGATTTGCTTGGGATTGCTACTTGTGGGCTAAGGCTTCGACAGTCTAGTCATTGACTCAATCAAAACGTTGTCGTTCAGGACAATGGGATTTCATTCACGATGGGGTCATTCGGCTCCTACCTTCCCTACCCGACAATCCTCCTGGGGACAGACCGGATGCNNGCCGGACGTATGAGACCAATGCTCCTTGTCAACAATTCAATTGACAACTCTACGACCCATTCGTCAACCAAATCACATTCCCGAAATTTCGTTATCACCGACTCAGGTTCAGATTGATGGAGCCACCCGTCGACTTTGATAGAATGCCCGCGACATCGGCGGGAAATGAGACATCTGCAACCTACCATTTTGCAGCCGCTTGGTTCAATGAGCTTCAAGCATTGGGAACAACTTTCGTTGTATCAGACCAAACGCAGCCGAGGTTGTGGACATTGTGATGCTACGCCATCGGCGAAGCGATCTGGTGTCAGCCAACTGGCCACGAATCCTCGATGCCATGGCAAAGGATCTTGTTGATCAAGCCGCCCGAAACAAAGAATAGAAGCGAGGAACAGTGTGTGTGCTAAGCAGGGTTCGCTCTTTTAATCTGAGGACTTGGACCAATGGTTCGGACCCATCCCGGAGCCGGCTATTCTCCTGAAAAGGAGATGTGTCTTGCACGATTTGATTTTCGAGGCCGGGATCTGATAGTATTTCAGCAAATTAGATTGTGCACTCCTGAGTTTTCACTTTGAGTCCATTCTCGTCTAGGACGAGGATTTCTTCGTGACACGTCCGGTGCCGGCCGTGGCTACTCCTGCACCAGTTATTGCTGGAGCAGTACCGTTGCTGCATTCATTTCGCGGTTTTCCTGCTTTGGCTCCAATAGAACACGGCATGCCTGGCTACAAGGTTAAGCCTCGGGTTTTTCATTGATTTGTTTGAGTGGAGCGGGGGGCGGGGAACAAATCGTTGTTACTTTGGAATATGTCTGGTCTGTTAAATTAAAGTCTGGGATGATCTGGTGATGTCAACGGAAGTGTGTTTGCACAGGCACCCGCCGCCTGGGAAATCCTTGGATAATGGCCTCCGGGACTCCGATTCTTGGCTGGCATGCAACTTCAAAAAAACACAAAAAAACAGAACAATACCTAACCCAACTCAATATCCCCAAAACATATCGAGGATGTGGCTGTGGTGGATTTATATTCGATTGCTGCCCCCGGACCTCATGATGCATAATTGGTAATTCTCACTGCACATCAAGGATCGATGGTGCCGTGGTGGCAGAGCTGAGCAGTAAGAGTGTTTTCTGGTGGGCTTTATTCATAGAATCAAGGGATCTTCGGAGCGGTAGCTGTGTATATTGTTTGGGTTGAGGGTTTTAGTGCAGTTATTAGCTCATGTTCGTAATGTTACAAAGACAAGCTGATGTCATCGGGGATGGCAGCACCGTGTCACTTTCG